ATCTGTCTGCTCTGAATGTCACAGCTTCACCAGGATTCCTGCATGCTCAGTAAGTTCATTCTGGCCCCCGCCCTTCTTTATTATTACCATCTACGTTACAATCATATCACAGCACGAAAATATAAGAGACACTTCAACCGGCCGCTTCTCTGCTTCGCTCCCCCCAAACCTCCAGAGTTTGATTTAGTAATAAACCTGAACCACCTCATTACTTCAGTGTAACCAAGAGGAAATTAGTACTGAAGCCACATTCATTATTAATTGGGTATCTTTTATTAAGCAGAAAATGGGAATCACCAGGTACTTATCCGCACTTTATAATAGAGTAACTCTAACTACTATAAAAACAGCCTCCATGAATCTCAGGACTGCCCCCTCCCAATCCTGCCTTTTCCATGACTGATTCTTTACCACAGGATCTGAGATGAAAGAATTAACTGTGATAACAACAATCCTGAAGATGACAATGATAACACGTAACATTAATTGAGCACTTACTACACACCAGGTACTGTTCTATTTGTTTTTCCATTTTTTTAAAGTAATCTCAACACCCAGTGTGGGGCTCGAACTCATGACCCCTGGATCAAGAGTTCCATGTTCTACCGACTGAGTCAGCCGGGTTTTTGTTTGGTGTCGGTTTTTGGTTTTTCACTAAGCACAAGCTGGATTTAGAAGAGTATAAGCAGGCAAAACTACTTTGCTTTGCCCCCACCCACGACTCTCAGTTATGCCATCCCATCACAGTCCTAGACAACTGTCAGTCAGGTAACAATGTTCAAGTCACTCTCAGGTAGGAACAAACATCCCCACTTTCATATATTAAAAAGTCCAGTCCACGGGGCGCCTGGATGGCTCGGTTGGTTAAGCGTCTGACTCTTGATTACAGCTCAGGTCGTGATCTCATGGTTCGTGAGTTCAAGCCCTGCATGGGGCTCTGTGCTGACAGCCTGGGGCTTACTTGGGATTCTCTCTCCCTCTCTTTGCTCCTCCTCTGCTCAAGTGTCTGTCTGTCTGTCTCTCTCTCTCTCAAAATAAATAAACAAAAATAAAAGTAAAAAGTCCAGCCAGTATTATATCAAAGCTGCAAACTCTCAATCAGTTTGAAGCTTCTCCTGCTACTGAGGCTCAGGCTTGACACAGACTGAAGAAACTCTCAATGAGAAGAAGGTGAGGCATGGTCCTCTTTCATTCCTCCTATTCCTCCTCCTCCTTCTTACTCTTCTCCTTCTTCATTCGCCATCTGCCTCCAACTGTGGCTGACCATCATCCCAGGGACTGGGAAGGAGCAGACAGGCCTTACCTGCCTAGTGCTGATGTAACCTGGCTCCAGGGTTCTCCAGGGGGTGGCCTATGCCCAAATGCTTGCTCTTAATGGAGCACTTCGGGGCCCCTCCACTGGGGACTTAACTATCGACCGTGCCTGCCTAGCGTCTTGGAACCTCCTGCTTACAGCAGAATATAACGATTTAGCATCAAACTTCCAACAGACTGTTGCGCAGGATTCTCTCCATTACAACCACCCAGCCCTACTGCTAGGCAGGTCTCTAGGGCAGGGCCCTTTGAAGATGACTACAACTTGCTACCCCACTTTCCGTGGGGTGCACACCACCCCCTGGGAAACACCAGCTCCTTTCCCACCTTTGGTGAAAGTCACCCTCCTCCACTGTAGGCCGGGCTCCCATCTCGCCATTAGGAGCATCTGGGCATGTTAGACTCTGCCACTGTCCACTGACACTCCGTCCCACTAACATCCGTGGTACTAATGTCACACAGCAACAGGAATGTACTTAATACCACTGAATTGTGTGCTTAAAACCAGTCAAGACAGGAAATTACATATTATGTATATTTTACCACATTAAAAAATTTTAAGAACTGAGATGTAGCCCCACTAAAATAATAAAATTGTGGTTAAGAAAAACCCCCCAAAATATTAGTATATGAAAATGAAACTTTTAGTGACTAGAGAAGCAATGAGATTGGCTTAAGCGTGAGGAAAAGACAGGAGGGGAACACCTGACACAGAGCTGTTGAAAGGCAGTAGTAAGAGAGGGAAAAAGCTTCTTCATGATTTACTCCTACAGTAAGTACAGCTTGTTCCATGAACTAATTACCTGCACTAATTTTTTCCTCACAACAGTTTTATGAGGTAAAATGAAACGATGAATTTTCTGGAGAAATGAACTGTTCTTAAATGACACATTCTGACCTTCCATCAAAGTAAACCAATTTTCCTTGCTATTATCTGTATAGATCTTTTGGGGGCCAGGCCTCCCTTCCAGGGACTATTGAAGTAAAATTCAAAATGGCGTGTTTCAAGTCAGGGAGATAATTTGGTGAGCTCCTAGTAAGGTACCTGAAAGTAATCAGTCTCAAGACGGAAATGAGATGGAAGAAATTGATCACTGAATGTTCATCAGCCGAAACCTGCCTCCTTCTGGTGGAAAAAGGGTTTAGATGTCAGTTGGTCTATAAATCCAACAAAGCTCCAAGTCTAATGACCTGCCTTAGGACCTGACACTGGAGAGGGAGACCACTGTGTAACCCATTGTATCCTTCTGTCACCATTTGTTTTTCCATGCCCACTGTGTCATATCCTGAGACCACCCTCGGTCCACTATATCAGGTTACAGATAATCACTGTGGTACAGTCTACATGGAGTGTGAGTAGTTCCCCGGATTAAGTCAGCAGGATTCATTGTTATTGTTTCTGTTGTTGTTTTCTATTTATTAGCATTTTTCAGAACTAAGGAACTGAGAAGTTTCCATTTCAATCACCCCATTTCTGGAAATTCTTGCCAAAAGCCACTTAGGCTTCTAATATTCCCTATCTGGACAAGAGTTTCACTTCAATTGACAAATACAGCCTTTTCTTCCATTAAGTCCAGAAAATACTGAAGTTTTCCTATTTTTCTTTAGTACTGATTCAACTATTAAGGAGATGTAGGGATAGTCAGGTCTTTGAAAACAGAACCAGGACATTGAAATGGAAGCAAAATAAGTAGTGGATATTAAGCGTTTACTGTGCACTCTGTAGAATATAGGTGCAAAGTCCTTGTCAGTCTGTGAGAGTGAAATTGGTCACATTGAGTATTTTAGCTATCTATTGTTGTGTAACAAACTGTACAAAAATTTATCAGCCTGAAACAACAGGCATTTATTGCAGGGTTTCTGTGCATCGGACTTTAAGTGTGGCTTAGCTAGATGGTTCTGGCTCAAGCTCTCTTATGAAGTTGGAGCCAAGGTTTTGACTACAGCTGTAGTTCTTTCAAGACTCAACGGGGGCTTGAGAATCTACTTCCAAGATGGCACACTCTCATGGCCATTGGAAGAAGGAATTAGTTCCTTGCTGTTGTCAGGAGAACATGCCACACGAATGTTCTGTGGGACCATACAAGTGTCTTCACAATATGGAAGCTGGCTTTCCCTCAGAGTGAGTGATCTGAGAGAGATCAAGGAAAAAGCCACAATGATTTTTCTTACCTAGTCTTAGAATCCAAATACCATCGTTTCCACCATATTCTATTCTTTAGAAGCAAACCTAAGTGCAGTCCGCCCTCAAGAGGAAGGAAATTAAGCTCCATCCCATGAAGGGAAGAGTATCAAAGAATTCATGTACATGTTTTAAAACCACCACATTAAGATTTGGTGATGCAGTTGTTGTTTTGAATGTTTGTTTGTTTTGCACTTATGCTCACAGGAAGCACAAATACCCTCAAGTGAAACAAATACAGATGCTAACTACAGAGAATAATTGTAATACAATATGTGATACTCCATTATCAGCCACAAAAAGTAAAAGATTTTCTCCTCTGAATAGTGAGCAACAGAGATACTCCTGAAAACCTGCACTCCAAAATGGTAGGTAAGAATCAAAGCATCTTAAAATAAAAATTCTTTCAATATTGTTCTCTTTTTCCAGTCTAAAAAGTGACATTTTAATACAAGAGCATCAATTAAAGGAAGTGCTTATGTTTATGCAGAGTTTATGACATTCCTAGAGTCAAGATGACTCAGTCCAATCTTATTTCCTCCTTAATAACAATAGTTTAATCAAGGAAGTAATTCCTGATAGAGCTCTAATACCCAAACTTCTATAAAAAAAATACCACAAACTTCTCACTTAATCAACTAGCATTCATGGTGTAAATTAACATTCATGGTATAAAGCTTTCAAGTTCTATCTAGGTTGATTAAACAAGGCAAACCAGGACCCATGCACATTAAACTGGCTTCAATTTACTTCAACAGCATGGAAGTTCTTCCACATATTATTTACATTATTTTCCTTTTATATGATGCATTTTAAAAATCACAGGAGGAATGAACATTTGAAGAATAGTTAAGGACATCAAGAAAGCATCTTTGGAGATATTCCATACACAATATTGAGATTATCTGGTAGTTTTTTTGGAAAACACATCCAGAAATGGTTGTTTTGATGCCCTCCTTTTTCTCAGTAAGATCAAGATATTGGTCATTATGCTGCCCTTGAAAGTGTCTTACTTAATCCAAACTGGCCTCAACACATTGCAAAATGTCATAAAGCTCACCGGGCTTTACAATTCCAAAGCTGAACTTCCAATTTAAAGATGGTGGTTTGAAGTCAGAATATCTTATCTTCTTGGGAATCATCGGAAAGCCACAGGAAGAATGTGAAAGAAAAAAAAAAGGTAAGCCCCATTTGTCGTGAAACAAGGCAAGAGAAAACTTTATGCCACCAAATAGATGGGAAGTTTTCCCTCCTTTCTCATGCCCTAAAACAGTTCAGATAATGTTGGAAGAATGTTATTTAATGATGTAGAATTCCCCTGTAAAACCATCCAAGTCCATTATTTTTTTTCTAAATATTTTTAATGAAGCAATATGGATACCAAAATCCAGCAAAGATTTAATAGGAAAAGTCAAGTACAGATCAAACCAACGTATGAATATTAATCTAAAATTTTATAAAATGTTATAATCAGGTAATGCATCTGACCTAGCAGAGTTTATTCCAGAAATGTAAAATGTATCAATACAGAAGAAATGTATTAACATGTTTCATCATATCATATTCTAAGAATGAAAAGTATATTATTATTTCCATGAGAGGTGCCAGTAATGTGTTTGATAAATTTAACATCCATTCTTAGTCAAGATTCTTAATCAAATAGAAATAAATGAATATTCCCTTAACATGATCAAATAACACTGTCTTGATCCAGAGCTACCCTTCTGCTTAATCAAGAAACAGTTTCAAAGTCAGGAATAAGGCATAAGACCAGAATGTCCATTATCATTGTCTTTTTGTTATTATTCTTACAAATAGGACACATATGAACATCCTTATGCATATGTCATGGTGCACATGAACATGAGTTGGTTGCATTTGGGTACACACCTGTGACTCGAGAGGCATCATGTGTTTCCATGGGTCCTCCTGTGCTCCTCTCATTTATCTTGTGCACAATGACCCCAGGAAGCCACTGGACCAGAGAGGATGAGGGACACTTGGAGCAGAACTGAACCAAAACTGCAGCCTGGAGCCCAGAGCCTCAGGTCCAGTGTAGCTTAGCTGGCCTGCAGATCCACCATGAAAACACTGGTGTCGTTGGGTTAAGGAAATGGGATTTGAAGGGATTTGTTCCATAGCAACAAGCGCAGGAAAAGTGGAAGAAGCCACAAACACATAAAACTTTTGTGAAAGAAAAAAAATGGTAACTATAGAAAATTATTATAATTACATAAACTTTTTTGCCCAATAAATGTGCAAATAAATTTGCAGAGTGAAATTTGAAAAGTTAGATAAAACACGTAAATTTCTAGAAGAGAACATTTACCTAAATCAGCTCTAGGCAAGAGAGTTAGTCTTAACAGATCAGTTTTATAGAAGAAATAGGAAAAATCATCACACAGCACTCTCTCACCAACTTCCCATTAAAAAAAACTGGAAGCCATCCATACGTCCATCAACAGACAGATGAATAAACTAATTGTGCTATATCCATATAATGGGTTATTTCTCAACAATTAAAAAAACAAGTGAACTACAGACACATGCAACAATCTGGAGGAGTTTCAGAATAATTGTATTATGTAGAAGAAGCCAGATAAAAATGTCTGGCAGATGCAAACTCCAATGACAGCAAGCAGAGCAGTGACTACCTGGGGGTGGAAAGGCATGAGAGGGAGGAACCGCAGAAGAGCCTAAGAAAACTAGAAGGGGGTGATGAATACGTGTATTATCTTGACTTGATGGGGGTCTCATGGGTGTATGCACATGCCAAAAAAGATTAAATTTTACAATTTAAATATGTATAGTTTTGCATTCCAAACCTAGCTCAATAAAGCTTCTAAAAAATAAAAAGTGTTTTCACAATGCAGCTCGTAACAAATCTCCTAAGAGGTATCTCTGACGCCCAGCCACCATTTTGCTCGTCCCCCTTGATACAGGGGACTACTCAACACTTCTACTATTCATTTGACTTTTTACATTTATCGTGGTGTGATTAACCTTTGGTTAGGTATGTTTCTGCATGACCATCTCATGAGCAGAATCCTCCTTCAGCCCCTAGAACAGTTCTAAGTGCGTGGCCGGCCCTCAATAAACGTTCGGTTGAAAGATTTACATTGTGCCTCTAGAGAAAAATATTTTGTGTTGCTTTTCCGAAAACAAATTATGGGACTTCTTCCAACACTTGATCGAGCAGATAGAAACAAATTTCTAATTTATACTTAAGCAGCACGTTGCCAAACACGGCAATTTCCAATGTGAAGGATATTTACTCATCTAAAAGCCGCAGTAAATCATGTGTGACAAAATCAGCGTGTTTGGCCAAGGATCAGAGGAATTCACATCATAATCCACGCAATTAACCAACGTTGCCAAAGTAAATGTCTCAAAAGAAGCTAATCTGTAACTGTTCTTATTTGTTCATTCATTTATTTACATCTCATAACAAAATGTGTATGAGCAGAATAAAGTGAAAAATGGTATAAAAAGTTAACGTGTTCCGGTTTAATTTGGTATCTCGGCTTCAGAGAACCCAAGTTTTATATCAAGGCTTTTATTTTAACCTATACGGTATCACTAAGTAATTACTACTGATAAGACACTAGCATAGGGAGGGTGGTACTGTGCAGCGAATTCTGTATTTCTAGTTGAAACCTGGATATTAGCTGCTAAAATCACCACTCCCCCTCCAATCTTTAGAGAAAACTGCCATGAACCCTCATTCCTGGTGACAGCTTAATGCTTTTGCCAAGGTTTTAGCAGATTTCAGAGGAGCCTGTATTCTCAGATCCACCTCTGGTCTAAGGACTCTTCATTCATGGGTTGGTTCCATCTTGGAATTTCTGGACTTCTCGCTCACGCTCTCTTTCACCCCACAAAGAACCAGGCATGCAATGCAGCCCTTAGCTAGTTTTCAACAAAGTCACTACCCCACTGAGCATTTGCATGCCTGTGTTGGGTTTAACGAAGCTTTAGAAAGACTCAGCAATGCACATGAGCAACACAGACAACTTCAAGTAGAGCAGTGGACAACCGTGTCCTTTCTTACGCGGTTGGACTGCTAGGGATTCTTTTCCACTTCAGGCCACTTTGAAACCCACTCTCCGAGATCTAACGGGCTTCGCACTTCCCCTTGGCCCTCTCATCACTCTTCCCCATCAATCCTTCCGGCTCCCAATCTTCTCTCTCTGCTGTGCAGAACAATAAACCTTTCCATCTCAATTCCCAGACACTGCTTCACCCACCTTAGCCTCTCCGAACTCAGGGAGGCACTCCACAGCACATTTCTTTCACACTAAAAACATCAACCTCTTTTTTAAATGCAGCCATATCACTAAAGAGCAGTTTCTGTTAGCCACCCTATTTTCCCGGCTTTGATTTCAATCCAAAAATTCACTAAGTGCACTGGAGGCCACCCCGATGCACCATACAGCATATTACAACCTTTCAGAGAGCAAGTCTCAAATGTGTTTTCTCTCCCCGTGAAGCGTTCCTGGCTACCCAGGTAGTTACTTCTTCCTTCCACATTTCCTCAGGATTTATGTCACGGTGGTGTTTATGGTGTTTTCCTCTCTTCTACCAGTTTGAGGATGGGAATCATATCTTATTCATCTCTGTAGCTACACCAGCATCTATCAAGAGCAGGCATTCCATAAACATGTGTCAAATCAATCATTCAGTACGAATTATGTCTGGTTAAGACTGGGCAGCAAATCAGACATTTAGTCCCAGACAGGCAAATGTGCAAAGTGCCTACAAAAGAGAAGATGTAATGCCAAAAGTTAGAAACGGCCTTTTAGGGGTGCCTGGGTGGCTTAGTCGGTTAAGCGTCCGACTTTCGCTTAGGTCATGATCTCGCGGTTCGTGGGTTCGAGCCCCGCGTGGGGCTCTGTGCTGACTGCCAGCTCAGAGCCTGGAGCCTGTTTCAGAGTCTGTGTCTCCCTCTCTCTCTGACCCTCCCCTGCTCATGCTGTCTCTCTCTCTCTTTCTCCTAGAAATAAATAAAGCATTTTTTAAAAAATTAAAAAAAAAAAAAAAAGAAACGGCCTTTTAAACCCATATGCACAACAAAACCAGAGAGCTTTTCCTTGCAGAAGGTACACGGTGTACCTCAGGCCATTCAGAACGCTTATTCTACAGCAGACTTCCCTCCAAGCCCGGCTTTCCGCTTCCATAAATCGTGCTCTAGACGTGCTGCGTCTCGGATTCACAGTGCCCACTTCACTGGATGGTGACTCACGCTCACCATGCGACAAATTAATTCCATTTGGAGATCATTTGGAGGCACTAGACAGAAGACTACAAACCAATCCCCACAACAAAAGACGGTTTCCCAGCAAAGCGTTTTCGCCCACCTTCTCTCTCAGCTAATTCTCCCAAGCATAATCATGGAACAAATTGGAAGCTCACTGAAAATAACAGCCACGTCTAGCTTTCCTTTGTACAACATCTCACACAACCTCGAGCTTGGTAGGTATTCATGACGTCCTGAAGTGCATGGAAATAACTATGAGGTAGATTCGGCACAGAAGTGACTTTCCCAAAATGTGTACTTGCATACGCATGCATGGGTGTGCACATATGGACACGTACACGTATGCACGCAAACACATAGAGAGAGAGTGCATCTGCGTGATAGGCAGCAGTAAACAGTGGTGCCTGATCACTGCCCTGTAGACTCCACACTCTGCCATCTGTTTATTCACGGAATCCATCAACATTTATAAAGTTACAACATGCCAGGGAGATCCCTTAAGAGGGGAAGGAAAGATTTCTTGTCTCTTTACGGCTGTCTCTGGTTTTTCTCTCTGTTGGAGCAGAGAAGAGGAGGAAGCAATGGAAAAATAACACAGCCTGGCTTTCTAGGCACATCGCCACTGGAGAATACGGGTGGTGTTATCAAAGGGCAGGAGGAGGGGCACCTGGGGGGCTCAGTCAGTTAAGCGTCTGACTCGGCTCAGGTCATGATCACACGGTTCGTGGGACTGAGTGTCACATCAGGCTCTGTGCTGATGATGCAGAGCTTGCTTGGGATTGTCCCCCTCCCTGGCTCTCTGCCCCTCCTCCCCCCCCTTCAAAATAAATAAATAAACAAACATTTTTTAAAAGCAAATAAATAAAAGACAGTAGGGCAGTAGGAATAAACCCCAGGCAGCCCCCAGCAATGAAAAAGTGCCAAAATGTATTGAAAGACTGAATGGACATCGAATCCATGTGCTTTCGAATAAGCTATCAGACACCTGAACTCGGTCTGAGGAAAAGTAAGTGACAGAGTAGGAAAGCATGACCAGTACCTGATTTCCAAGGAAGGAATGCAAACCACCACACATGTATGCATGGTGTGGATGCGATCAGTGGACAATGATCAATATATATTTGAGATGGAGGTATTTATTAGTCAAAACATTTAAACCCATGCTATTTCAGAGCTAAAGAGACCTTAAATATCCTCTGTCCCCTCACTTCTCAAAATTTTATATATCACAGCACACGTAGAAAATGTAGATACTTGGGGCGCTTGGGTGGCTTAGTCGGTTGGGCGTCCGACTTTCGCTTAGGTCATGATCTCGCGGTTCGTGGGTTCGAGCCCCGCGTCGGGCTCTGTGCTGACTGCCAGCTCGGAGACTGGAGCCTGTTTCAGAGGCTGTGACTCCCTCTCTCTCTGACCCTCCCCTGCTCACGCTGTCTCACTCTCTCTCCTAGAAATAAATAAAACATTAAAAAAAAATTTTTTTTAAAACGTAGATACTTGGAAAGCATTCTGGGGTGGATGAAGGAGGCTGCTTAGGGCAGGAGGCTACTGGCTGAAGGCCCTGCCGGCCTCCCTGAGGGCTGAGGGAATCAGTATCTTGGGACCTTAGCTGGGAAGGCCTATATTGGGCCCGTCTCCGAACTTCACAGGTGAGGGAATTAGATCCTTACCAAGGTCACCAGCTGGAGACTCACAACCGAGGCGGGAACAAAGACTTCAAGGGTCTTTCTTCCTACTTCTCCTCCTCCAGGGCTTCCCAAAGTATGGTTCCCAGACCAGCAGTACCAAGGCCACCTGGGAAGTTGTTCTGACGCAGACTCTCAGACCCCATCCTGCACCTACCGAATCAGACTTTGGAGGAGAGAGGCCAGGCATCCTGCGCTCTGACAAGCCTTCTAGGAGATTCTGATGCTCACCTAAGTGTGAGAAACACCATGGAAGTCTATACAAATCCTGTGTTTCCACAAGCTACCAGGTTAATGTTCAGGTTGTCCAACTTGGGGTGGCAAAGGGTTTTCTGGAAAGGACATGATACTAAATATTTTAGGCTTTGCCGGCCATTCATGCTCTGTCACAGCTACTTAACTCTGCCGCTCTAGTACAAAAGCGGTTATAGGCCAAACACAAACGGGCAAGGGTGTTTCCTGAGAAAACTGTGTTTATAAAAATAGGCTGTAAGGTGGGTGTGGCCCATGCACAAGAGTTTGCCAACCCTGGTAACTGACGATTAGAACAGATTCGTTAACTTCATAACTTGGGTTCTTAGCCACTGTAGTTAATACAATCTCGCAGCAACTTATGGCATCCATCAATGCTCGTGTCAAGATCTGTCTCTTCCCATTCATTTAACATGTGCTAAACGCCTCCCAAGTGCCACCCCCGGGGCATGCAGGGATGAGAAGATCCAATCCATGCCCTCAAGTATTAGAAGCAAGAAATCAAATAAAATTACGTGGGTTTTGAATGTGGTCTTGTTGAAGGAAAAAACTCAAGTTTGTGGATTTTGCTGCTAAATATGCTAAGATGTTCCATGTATAAACGGACAAAAAGTATGATCACGCATGCTCCCAACTGTAAGCCAGCAGAGGTGGTAACTGTGCTGGCCACCACTGTTTACTTACACCCACAGATTCTGTGGGTCAGGAGTTCAGACGGGGAAAGCTGGGAATCTCTGCGTAAAGACTGAAGGCTTTACAGAGAAGACTAGAGTGGGCAGGGGATAAAAGCTTTTGTAGCCCTGTTCATTCATATGTCCAGTGCCTGGGCTGACGTGATTTCTAAACCTAACTGAACGGGTATCATTGGTTAGATTTCCCTGCACTTGGTCTCTCTGCATGCCCTGGGCACCTCACAGCATGGTGGCCTCTGAGCAGTCAGACCTTTCATGTAGCAGCTCAGGACTCCACGGCCATATCTTCCAATGGCCAAAGCAAAAGCAGCATGGCCGCTCAGGGTCACACTTTAGAAGCCACATTACATCATGTGTGTCATTCTCTCCTGACCAAGGCAACACAGGTCTGCCCAGATTCAAGAGGTGGAGGCACATACCCTACCCCCTGAAGGCAAGACAGTCAAAGGGCTTTCATCCAGGTCTCAAAACCACCAGGCAGAATAACCAACTGCGAGAAATGCCCTATCCCAGAGTAAGGGAGACTTACGGAATTTTTAAAAACTGCAGATAATGTGCTAAATTAAAAGCAACTCTGCTAAAAGCCCAAAATGGAAGAACGGGTCTAGAATTCATTCGATTTGGGTGTACTCGTTAAATAATGACCCTCCAAAAGAGGAATTTAGACAATGTTTCTTTCCATCTGTCCCTAGAACAAAAGAACTGTAAATGTTGTGTAGAACTGAACAGCATGCGGAGTGTGGGCTCATCCATTACCAATGCCAGTGGCTGGCTATCATTGAAGGACAGACGTCCACGGCCCTTTACCAAACTGCCAGAAGTCTCTCTTATCAGGGAATAAGGATGGAATGTAAAGGATTTATTTGTAGACTTTTCATGGGCATATCTTTTTTAAAAAAACAAGTAAACTTGGGGCATCTGGGTGGCTCAGTCAACTGGTTTGGTCTCAGGCCATGATCTCACAGTTGGTGAGTTCGAGCCCCACATCGGGCTCTGTGTTGACAGTGTAGAGCCTACTTGGGATCCTTTCCCTCTATCTGCCCCTCCTCAGCTTGCATTCTCTCTATCAAAATAAACTTTAAAAAAACCAAACAAGTTAACTTGAATTCCCCTTCCCTCTTGTCAGTTCTTCATATAAAATTACTTACTTCTCTGAGAATTCAGCACTAATTTAGAGATAACTTTATAATCCTTTGACACAGAAAAGTCAAATAGATGTTTTTCTCAGTGAAAAATGAGTTGTTTTTATGCACTGTACATTTTTTTCATCGTCTGCTTAAGAAGTCATTAAGACAATAAATGATTAGAATTGTCTTAAATCCTTCCAACCAAAGAATTGGGTTGTGAAAACAGTTTAACCTATACAAATTTTTTTCCTAATCTGTCTGACTTTTCTAAAAACACGGAATAGTTTTTATGGTAAAACGAAAAGTGAGAATTTTCAATCTAGTACAATAAAGTAAATGTGTAAAGATAATGCTATTATCTTCCTTTTAAAAACAGAGTTCTGTTGAAGCCCGTGGGTGGCTCAGTGAAGCGCCTGACTCTTGATTTTGGCTCAATCATGATCTCATGGTTTGTGGGTTTGAGCCCCACACTGGGTTCTACATTAATAGCACAAAGCCTGCTTGGGATTATCTCTCTCTCTCTCTCTCTATCTGCCCCTCCCCAGCTCGTCTCATTCTCTCCCTCCCTCCTTCTCTCTTTCTCAGAATAAGCAAATAAACTTTTATGTACACACACACACACATATAATGGAGCTTTTTAGAGGAGAAGCTTAATCAGGAATCATGGCGGTGTGGTTTGTCATAGCCTCCTGGGTCTTTACGGCTGTCAAAGGACCCTCAGGAATTACGTAGTCCAACCCTGTCATTTTGCACATGACTAGACTAAGGCTCAAAAATGCGAAGAGTGGCAGAGACAGCTTCTGCTCACCAAATATTCCAAATGTTCTCCTCCTCCATTTCCCAGTCTCTCCTGAAGTTAGGCTAGTTCTGGCCCATACACTGTGGGCAGAAGTGACATGCCATATCCCAGCTAAAACAGTGAAGAGCTGATGTGCCTCTCTCTCTCTCTTTCCTTTTGGGGGCCCCCATGTTGAGATGGTAGAAGCCGTGAAAGCTGCCTGGACCTCTGGATCATCCCACGGGAGAAAGCTGTGCCAGAAAGTTACCAAAAGCTCCCCAGACTTTGCATACGCAAGAAGCTAACCTTCATAGCGTGTAGCCACAGAGATGTCAGGATTTACTTGTTCCTGGAGCACAGCCTACCTCGTCTAACTGACGCACCAAGCAACTTGCTCAAGTTCAGCCAGCAGGTCAATGGCGAGGCTGGAATGGGAACCCAAGTCTCCTGACTCACCAGTCCAGGGCCATACTTTAAAACCACAGAATCATCAGTGAGGCACTACCACGCCAAGTCATTAGGCAAAGGGACCCAGGAGCTGAAAGCAGAGACAAAATGTAGACTGGGCTGATAAAAACATGGCACCCATGGATGGAGGTCCAGAACCAGACAGGGTACGGTCAGGAAGGATGGGTCAGCCTTCAGTATGGGACCAGAGAGGCTGAACCCCAGCTGGCAGGACAGATGCTCAGGAACTGTCCCAATGGGCCCTTTCTGCCCAAATTGTACACACTCCTTGAGATGATGACAGTTGTTCCTAGGCCCTGTAGACCAGGTAGGAAATTAAATACCCAAAAGGAAGTGCTTTCACTTTCCTATATGTGTACAGCAGCCATTACACACAAACAGGAAATGGATGCCTCAGACTGAGATTAATTTAACATGATATAGAATTTTTAAAAACAACAAATTGGAAAAAAATACATTTGGGTTGCTAGGCAACATCAGTACAAAGCTTTCCTTCTCTTCGAGAGCGTTATCTCCATCTTCATGGACAAAAGTCAAAAAGTACTTAGTGATGTGGTTGTGACATCAGACAGCAAATTGAATTTTCCTGGAAACAGCATCCTGCGTTGCATCAAGCACCTCAGGGTTCCAAATTACTACCCTCTGTGCACAGGACAATGTTTCCTATTTTGAAATACTCATTTTTCTCTGTACAAACAGGTTACAGGCTATCTTTTGTCAGGAATTGAAACAGAAGTAGAGATTTTGCAAAGTCATGCAAGTCTGTTCTCCCTCAAGGGCAGGAGATGATTAGCAGTGACCCACCCTGTGTGACACGATTCTCTGTCTACATGTCAGAAGCTTACGCCAAAGGGAAGTCCCTTTCTCACCTTGTCTCCTCCTGAGAAATGGATGCTTTAGTCCTTCACTGGCCTTTCATTGAGACAGCAGCTCTGGAACAGTCTGGAATATTTTCCACTGACCCACTGGGTTACACAGCCTCTTGCATTCTGTCTCCTAGGCCCACCACTTCCCCTTTCCACTTTGTTTGGCTTCATCCTCTGACCTGATATTTACCTCAGCATCCTCTGGCCAACCTCTATTCTAGACCCATTTCCCAGGATGAAGCTTACGGAGATCCTTAGAATTCATTTTTTTAACAGCCCCTCGTTCCCAACAAAAGAACAACTTCCCTGGCAGAGAAGGAAATGAAAACTCACCTTAGGGGGTATCTTCCAAAGTGCAGCTGCCCTGCAGATGCCTCTTGACGGGAAAGGAACCAGGAAGTAGGGTGGTCTCCCTAGCATGTACATCGGGGGGGACGAGGGGTTCTCAAGCTAGAGTTTCTGAAGCACCTATTCTGTGTAAAACACTGTCCGATCTGTAAAAAACATAAGAAACATAACAGTTCCGGAGGAAATAAGACTAATGCAAAAGAAGGCAACCCAGGCTATTCACTTCTCCTAAGTTTGCCTTCATGAAAACATTACAAGAGATAAGGCCACTAGGGAGGGAGGCAGAAGACAATTTTAGAGAAAGCAGTGGGCCACTTGGCATTATCAAATACCAGGTTCCCAGTGACCCTCTTCTTGACCACAAGAAGAGTCAAAGGCACTTCCACAAGGACTCCAGAACATTGTCCAAGGGACCTGAAAGAAACTAGGACCTGTCTATCCTGTCCCTGAGCACAGCCTCTGTGTCAGTCCCTTCCGGTCCTGATGCAGAATGTGTTTCAGGATTAGGGTCTTACTCTTACTACTCTCATCCCTGGACAGTTTTTCTGCCTTACCGTCCACACCTGATTCTCACCTTCCCAATTTCCTCTCCTTCCACCTCATTTACCTCCTACAAGTGGCCGGCCCACATTAGGTTCTTGAATTCAGCACATTCCCTCCCTCCTGGCTTCCCTCCCCAAAACACTTGTCACACACCATGCTGGGAAGCACGGAAAACATGAAGCCAGAAAAAACCACTGCTCCTGTCCTTAGGGGGTTTTTCATCCAAAACAGGCAACCAGGGGCACCTGGGTGGCTTAGTCGGTTAAGCGTCCGACTTTCGCTTAGGTCATGATCTCGCGGTTTGTGGGTTCGAGCCCCGCATTGGGCTCTGTGCTGACTGCCAGCTCGGAGCCTGGAGCCTGTTTCAGTCTGTGACTCCCTCTCTCTCTGACCCTCCCCTGCTCACGCTGTCTCTCTCTCTCTCCTAGAAATAAATAAAAACATTAAAAAAATAAAAAAAAATTAAAAAATAAATTAAATCAAAATAGGCAACCAACACATAAACTCTTAAGTCCCACTGTGCTAACAGATTAAACACCTGCCCAACTGTGTTCTCTAGGACGGGCACTATATGAATGGAAACAGGTAGGTCTCTTCAGTTCATCTGAGTTGAATCTGGTGCAGACCTCACCACCCAGGACGCAACAGTCCTCCTACTGAGCAAGTTCAGTTACTACAACATTCTTCAGGGCAAAAATAATGCTTGGACTTCTTTGCTGAATCCAGTACTGTTAGCACCGGGCATTTCTAGGCACAGAAAACTTGCTCATTAAATATGTCAGGATTGAAAGGTAATTCATTCAAAGGACCTTCTAGTCTTTTGCTGCTTTTGGTCTCCCTACCTTTCCTAAACACACACACACACACACACACACACACACACACATACACACACACACACACACACACTCCTAAAGCCATTTTTCATGCAATATGCTTTGCAAACTTCAAGGACAACGTGTAGTCATTAGATATTGCTATTTGCCTTACTTCCCTGTTATTTCTTGTGGGAAGCAAACACGCTGGCAACACTCCCATCACGTCCCCACACTGTCCTGGAAGTGAGAGCATCATCCGAGGCAGAAACAAAGCCAGAGCCCAGGGCAGGAGCTGTGTCTTCATCTTAGAACTGCCCAAACGTGTGTGCCTCTGAACTACCTTGTTTTCCATTTCTAGGTGGGTATTCTTGTTACCATAGAACAAAGATCTTTGTAAAGTCAAGTCACACTACATCCTTGACTTCCTCTCCCTCAGTTAGGCTTACCACATGTCCCTGAAGTTCATTACCTTGGTCTACCAGGATTTATACTTTGTAAGGTCTCCCATTATTGCTGCAGAATCTGTTTCTCTCAAAGGGCTTGCAGACATATACAATTTTCTTCAAAAATTCTTCTAGTATGGAAGCCCATCTTTGAGGATCTTCTCATCCATGCCGAATTCTTGCAGAAATGAGGGTTCGAGGTGATCAACTTATTAGAAGAAGTTCACAGCATGAAGACAGGGTCTGCACTGCCCAGCACAGTGATCAATGGAAGTCATGACAATTGACTGGATATGTGGCAAATGGTTTAGTTGTTGAATGCACGCTTTTAATTATAAAGTAGATAACTAATAAACAGAAAATTTGTTCTATTAAAACAAGCCTAATTCCAAGGGCAAGAATCTCCTGAGGCAGTCGAGTAGATGGCTTAGATGTTTCTAGTAGTCCAATGAGTCACACAATGAAGACCAACGACATGAACACTGCTCAAGGACAGCGACACTCCTGCTTTGGAAATCCGAGAACCAAATCACGGTTTCCTATGTGACCTAGCTCTAACAGCATGCTTTCTTAGAACTTCGAATATTTTAATGAGCATTTTCAGCAGGAATAAAGTGACATTTTTATGGCTCCTTTTTTTTGGCAATGGCTGGCAGTTTGAAAAACTCTTCCTTGAAGACTCCAGATTTCCTTAGTTTGCTTTGTGATTAGTCTTTAGATTCATTAAGAAGATGGGTCTATATTTACAGCTCACTTCAAAATATGTTTTTAATTTTTCATTTTTTTAAATTTAATTTTTTAGTTTACATCCAGGTTAGTTAGCATCTAGTGCAACAATGATTTCAGGAGGAGATTCCTTAATGCCCCTCACCCATTTATCCCATCCCCCCCCACACCCCCTCCAGTAACCCTCTGTTTGTTCTCCATATTTAAGAGTCTCTTATGTTTTGTCCCCCTTCCTGTTTTTATATTATTTTTGAAATGGCTGGAATCCTAGAGTCCTAATATTTTCCTTATGAACTGCTTTCCTGCCCTCCAAGTTTTCCTACATTAAAATGTATTATCTAAGCAACAAAAAAAAATTCCTGTATCCAGGAATCCAGCAATGTTTACAGAAAACTTGCCATATACCAACACTCTGAAATTAGTTTGGGGGAGGGAGGGAAATACAAAAGAATTACATGACAGGATATCTGTCCTTGACAAGATTACTGTCTACCTGAGAAACAAAACCAACCAACGAATTCATTTAAACACATTCAACATTAAACCATGCCTCTGTCCTGGCTACAGTAAGAGGTGAGGATATACAGTACATTGAAAGCCAGACAGGGCTTGGAATGGCAATGCATTTCCCTGTTTCAAGGCTTTGTTTTTGTGCTTTCTTCTACCAAAGGGAGCCCTGGTCCATCCCTAAATCAAGTTCAAAGGCCACCTCCTCAGTGAATCTTTTATCAGTTCCTTTGGTCGGCATTAATATTCCTTTTTCCCAACAGCTGTGTACACATTGCTTCTAATTCTGTTGAAATCATTACTTAATTCTGCTTTGATTTATAGTTAACTAGTAAATACCTAATTCCCCTAATAAGCTTCTTGCACGTATAGATCAAGAATTTATCTTTGGATTCTCCCCAGAATCAGCACCCTGTTTTTAAAAAAACATATTGTCAGTGTTCAATAAACATTTCTTGAATGTATTTATCTTTGCCATGATAGAGAGGTTATACTTTCATATTGTAATTCATGTGTTGGGCCACCTGGATGGCTCAGTCAGTGAAGCAACCGACTTTGGCTCAGGTCATGATCTCGTGCTTTGCAAGTTCGAACCCCATATCGGGCTCTTCTGCTTCAGCAGAGAGCCTACTTTGGATCCTCTGTCCCTCTCTCTCTGCCCTTCCCCTGCCTGTGCTCTTTCTCTCAAAAACAACATAAACATTTAAAAAAATTTTAATGATAATTCACTTGCTATTTTCATACCAGTGTAGTATTGTCTATGGGGGTTTCCAGCTTAACTTAGATGTATGGAGTTCTAACATGCCATTCACCATTTAATTACACATATTCATATTTTTGATAATGTATTTCTTTGCTCTATATATTACACATCAGATATTTTCCCCATAAAATAAATTATCAATTCAACCCCCCAAATTATAATATTATGCCAATATCATGATAAAGTTTTTTCCCCCTTCTTTAATACTCACATATGGAAGTAAGGACCCAGTTAAGTACAAGGAAGCTCTTAAATCATATACACATTTAGAATTTTTTTAAGAAGTTCTCTGTCTTCCTTCCTTCCTTTCTTCTGAGAAAGCAAGAAAGGGGCAGAGGGAAAAGGAGAAAGAATCTTAAGCAGGCTCCATGCCCAGCATGGACCCTGATCGAGGGCTCCATCTCACAACCACAAGATCATGTTCTAGGCCAAAATGAAGAGTTGGATGTTTAACCAACTGAATTATTCTGGTGCCCCTCTTTCTTGCTTTTTATAAGAGCGGGTATAACATTACATTAATAATACCTAACATTTAGGAGCACCTAGGTGGCTCAGTCAGTTAAGTGTTGGACTTAGGCTCAGGTCATGATCTCATGGTTCATGAGTTGGAGCCCCACGTTGGGCTCTGTGCTCACAGCTCAGAGCCTAGTGCCTGCTTTGGATTCTGTGTCTCCCTCTCCCTCTGCCCTTCCCCAGCTCACACTCTTTCTCTCTCTCAAAAATAAACATTTAAAAATGTTTAAATAATAACATCTAACATGTATACTGCATCTGTTAGGTGCTAGACCCTGTGTTAAGCCTTTTATGTGAATTTCCTCATTAATCTCTCACAAAAATCCAGCTTCCAGCATTTTGTTGTTAAAGTCATCGATGCTTGTCTGTCTGTCCTTGTGAGTTTGTCTTTCTTTAAATCTTTTCATTTAGCTTCAGTGAGATTACTAAAGGGAAAAAATTTGAGATTTGTGTTCAATCTGCCTTCTCAGCAGAGACAAGAATCCAATGTTTATTTAAGCGAAGGCGTTTCAGGACAGGGTCTGGAGAGCAGGTTCTGAGGTCAGACTGCCTGAGTTTGAATCTCTATTCTAAAAATTATTAGCTGTCAGGCCCCTAGATACTAATTAAGAGAAGAAAGGATTTTCAAATAGCTTTAATCATCTCAGAGATAAGAAGAGTTTTACCTCCATGAAACAGAGTGCTACTTTAAAAAATAAATAAGCAAATGAGTGACTACTGAAGAAACAAACAAAAAAAAATGGCTCCTGAAAATTAAAAACATGGTAGCACGAATTAAAAAATTCATTAAAGTGGGGCACCTGGGTGGCTCGGTTGGTTAAGCATCCAACTTCAGCCCAGGTTGTGATCTCACGGTTCATAGGTTCTAGCCCCGCATCAGGCTCTGTGCTGACAGCTCACAGCTGGAAGCCTGCTTTGGATTCTGTGTGTGTGTATGTATGCGTCTCTCTCTCTGCCCCTTCTCTGCTTCCACTCTGTCTCTGTCTCTCTCAAACATAAATAAAACATTTAAAAAATGTATTTTTTAATTCACTAAAGTGCTTTAATTCATTAAAGTTAAGAAAGTCTCCTGGAAAGAGAAGATATAGAAAACGTGAAAGAAAAGCAGGGAAACATTCCAAGTCCAGAAGTTGAACTTCAAATAAGAGAAAATTCAGAAGGAGGGAGGGAGGACATGCACAGGAAGTAAATCACTACCAAAATAATGCAAGAAAACAACCAGAACTGAAGGGTGTGAATTTTCGGAGTGGGGGGGGCCTCCACATTAAAAACAGGGCCTGCCCGTAAAACCCACTGCCTCCGTACCCCAGAGACACTCCCCACTCCAAGGAGTCCTGCTCTGGCATACTGAGGGGAAACAGCCCATGACAGGCTTCCGAGCAGAAAACACTCAGCAGCAGGCAGCTCGGAACACATTTCTGCCAGAGATCCAATATTAGCTCCATGCTACCCCAGAGTCAGCTGCCCTGACTGTCCTGAGCCCAGTGCTCCTCAGAACTCACTCCAAGCCTTACCGTGACGTCCCCAAAGGGGCTTTTCAAACTCTTTGAGCAGCAGAAAGAAGCCCAACTCTAAGCTCATTCTCTCCTCAGAGCCTTCATCTGGTAGTGAAAATAATGCCCCTTCCTTCCAGCCAGCGGGGTGCTCACTTCTCAGTTCTTCCAAACCCGTGGGTCATTGAGGATACTTGTTTGCAGGATAAAGCTGTGAGAGAAGCAAAATCATTATTTCTTAAGTTTTATTTTTATTTATTATTTATTTTTGAGAGAGAGAGAGAGAGAGCTCGTATGTTCACGAGAGCAGGGGAAGGGCAGAGAGAGAGGGAGAGAGAGAATCCCAAGCTGGCTCCATGCTCAGCACAGAGACCAACGTGGGGCTCCATCGTATGACCGTGAGATCATGACTTGAGCCGAAATCAAGAGTCAGACATTTAACTGACTGAGCCACCCAGGTGTCCCAAGATCATTATTAACACAAAAATCAGGGTTTGAGTTATTTCTGAGTGAAGGAAGACCATGTACTTAGGGAGGATGAAACAGGGGCTTCCACAGGACTGGAACTGGGAACATTCCATTCCTTATCCCAAGTGGTGGCTATATGGCATTCATTTCATCATTCTTCCTTAATTTGCATATGTATGTTTTACACATTCTTCAATGTAAAGGATACATTTCAGTTATAAAAAATGAAAAAAAAGACAACTGGACCTCAAATCAGAATACATGAAGCCTGCCTCTACCTCCTACTGTCTACACGACTTTACACAATCCAATTCTCCTTATGAGACTCTCTTTCCTCCACTGCCGATAAAGATCATTTCTCTTCTGCTCATTTAAGTAACTGTGCTGAGAAAGGAAATGCAATTGTACATTTGAAACTGCTTTATACACTGCACAGTGATGTATAAACACCAGTACTGAGTATTATGGCAAGAGCCTGTGTACTAAGGGTATCCCTAATAAAGTAATCCCCACATTAGGGCCACTGTGCCTCATGTGTTTCTCAGAGACTGTTCTCAGGCTCTTTGCTACTCTTGGATTCCCTTTGGCTGGATCATAAATATTTGTTCTCCCTTGGGAATAACTGAACAAAATGAAATTCCTGCCATTGACTGCTCTTTCTAGAAGGAAGGCACAAAATTTATATACTTAGGTACGTTACATCTTAATAATAACCTGAGTTGCCGCACTTGATCATTATGGAAACACTCTTTCTAAACTGTTTTGGACAGTGAACCGGAGAACAGGGACAGTCTTGCCCATAAACTAGGTGGTACTTCAGCCCCAGTTCTGGAAAATTGGGTTACATAGCCGTTACCAGGCTGTTCTGATGAGCAGTAAAGAAAAAGCCAGAAGTTAGAACGTCCTAAACCCCAGGACCTCAAAATGTGAACTTATTTGGAAATAGGGTCATTGCAGATATAATTAGTTAAGATGAGGTCATTAGGGTGAGCCCTCATCCAAGAAGACCATTGTCCTTATAAAAGGGGGAAATGTGGGCACAGAAGGAATAAGGTGCACAGGGAAGAGATGCGGGACGGGGGTGGGGGGGTCAGGAAGGGACGGCTACCTACAAGCCAGGGTAGGGGGTCTTCCACAGATCTCCCTCACAGCCTCAGAAGGAACTAATCCTGACAGCACCTTGATCTCAGACTGCCGGCCTCTCTGGAACCCTGAGGGAGACCTTCCTGCTACTCAGGCCCCCGCCCATGGCCCATGGCTATGGCCGCCCTCACAGGCCCACAAAGCGTCCAACTAGGACAACTTACATAATGTCTGTGTGAAACCGAATCTCCTTGCGAAGTTTTTCTACTGCCCTTTTGTGTGGCTTAGCACGCCTGGTGAATCCCCGGGAGAGCGACGCTGAAACGCGAGCCCTGCGGGCAGGCGGCAGGGGGTGTGTGCCGGGCGTCCTCAGGGCCATCCATTTCTTCGATGATGGGAAGAGTCCTCACACCCTGGAGACGGACGGGGCCTGCGCACACCTGGAGGCAGACGGAGCCTGCGCACACTCACGGGGTCTGCGCACACCCTGGAGGTGGACTAAGGGCCTGCGCACACGCTGGAGGCAGATGGGGGCGGGGGGGCCTGCGCACACCTGGAGGCAGACGGGGCCTGCGCACACGCTGGAGGCAGATGGGGGCGGGGGGGCCTGCGCACACCTGGAGGCAGACGGGGCCTGCGCACACGCTGGAGGCNGGGCCTGCGCACACGCTGGAGGCAGATGGGGGCGGGGGGGGCCTGCGCACACCTGGAGGCAGACGGGGCCTGCGCACACGCTGGAGGCAGATGGGGGCGGGGGGCCTGCGCACACCCTGGAGGTGGACTGAGGGCCTGCGCACACGCTGGAGGCAGATGGGGGCGGGGGGCCTGCGCACACCCTGGAGGCGGAAGGAGGGGCCTGTGTACACCCTGGCGGCGGACAGGGGGTCCGCGCACACTCACAGGACCTGCGCACACCCTGGAGGTTGACGCGGCCTGCGCACACCCACGAGACCTGCGCACACCCCCGAGGCAGATTCGGGGAGGGGTGAGGGTGCGCACACCCTGGAGGCGGCATGAGCCTTCGCCGCAGCAGGGCCCCGGGCTCAGCCGCTAACCCAAAAAGCACCCGCTCATCTGGACCCAGCCCGGGGCTGCTCCCTCGAGTCTGCGCCCCGGCCTGCAGCTGCCTTCCCTAAACAACCTCCTCCAACAGTTCTTGCCTCCTTTCCTCCCCTCCTTCATTCCCAGAATAAATTTAAAGAACGGCGTGAATGGCTTCAAGGCCGGCTGTACATTGGTCTCCTTTGGGTGTTTTTTGCTGCAGCCTCTAGGCCCTCGCCCCGGTCACAAGAAGCAGAATCCCTGGTTGGGATGTGTAATATAATACAAATACATGTATTTGGTCTTTGTCCCCGGTTGGCACAGAGATCCTAAAACTTTACCCTGGAATTTCCTAAGTGACAGGAGAGATTTGTTTTTCCTAACGAGCCTTTTTGGGCCACACCTGAGTTTAAGGGTGAGGAGGTGACTCAGGTGGGGGCAAGGGGGTGAGGGGTCTTGATAGATTCTGGCCGCGTACAGAACGGGGGTGGTCACCAGAAGACCAAACTTCTGATTAGAGGCTGGGAACTCTCAGCCCCACCCCCCAACGTCTGGGGAGAGGAGGGAGGCTGGAGACTGAGTCCAGTAAATACTTGAAATTTGGAGAAATCCTGAGGGGGGTTCGCCTGGAGAGGGCCCCGAAGCTTCCACTCCTTCCCCCAGACTGTGCCCTGTACAACCTTCCACTTGGCTGGTCCTTAGCTCTGTCACTACAGTAAAGCTGTAACTATAAGTAGAGCCTTTCCTGAGAACTTTGAGTCGCTCTAGTGAATTATCAGGCCTGAAGAGGGGGTGTGGGAACCCCCAAATCCTTAGTCAGCTGGGCAGAGGTGTGGTGGCCCGGGGACCTATCTGGCGGCTGGTATCTGACATGGAGGCAGTCTGCTGGGACTGAACCCTTTGACTTCTGGGTTATCACGCCAACCCCAGGTAGGTAAGTCAGGGTTGAACTGAACTGTCGACACTCAGCTGGTGTGGGGAGAACTGGAGAAGTGGCTAGTGTCAGGAGAAACCACAGGGACATTGACAACTATGAAGTATGCCACTCTGCTGTTTCCGAAGAACCTGAGAAGGGGAAAATATCCCAGTTGTCTGGGGGTCTGCCTGCTGTCCCTTCAGACACCTGCATTGGTGCTGAGGCCACACTCAAGTTACCAGCTCATCAGGATTTGCCCAGGGTGTTCCCAGTTTTAGCACAGACAGTTGCGGATCCTAGTAACCTCTTCAGTCCTGGGCAGATGGTTATTCTATGATGCGCGCGCACGCACACACACACACACACGCACTCACACACACAAACACACTGCGCCAGCCAGGGACTGCTCATTGTGGGGTATTAGTTATGTCTCATTCCTGCTGGATAGAAAACTTCCAACGGGCTGCTTTTGCTTGGGCACCTCCCCTCAGCCTGGCCTCAGGTGTTCAGAGCCATGCTGCTGTCTGAGATCTTTCCACCTAGCCCCATCCTGCCGCCCCATTGACCTCCCCCACCTCCTGCCCAGCGCTCCCTCCCCTTTCACAGCCATTGCCTCCAGTAAATCTCTTGCCTATCCACCCCTGTTTTAGCATCTGGTTCTCAGAGGACACAGAAATACACTGATCAGTATATTTTAAATCTCCCGAAGTGATTGTGAACCCAGCTAGGTTTGAGAAGCACCATCCAGGCGTGCTAACTACCAGCGCACCTGCCCACGGTCCAGTGGCGAGACCAACATGCAAGCTCCTAATTACAGTGCCACGTGGGAAACGCAGCACTAAGATAGGAGCTGAATGTTCCGGAAGTGCTGAGGAAGAGAGATGGAACTGCCCTGGTGATGTGGGAGATGATTTCAGCTTCCAGTGCTGAGAGACAGCAGCCGTACCTCTTGAGCTCTAAGTAGAGAATTCCTACTGTTTTTCTCCGTGTATCACACCACTGTGATAAAATCATCATGTGTTGTGGACATAAATTTAGAGATGTTTTACTGACCACACTGCTGGCCACCAAATATGTTGGCCAATTCTTTCACTCACTGGACACCAACAGGGTGTTCAACAATTTCATTCAAATTCTAACTACTAACTAACACCACTAACTAATACTAACTACTCAGGTTAGCACTGACTCCACAGGTGAAAAATTCCCACAAAACTGCCCCCATTTCAGATGGTGGCTCAGGTCCCAGGTTGCATGTCATCTGTGCTTCTGAATGACCAGCTATAAATCCAGCGTTCCCACAACCCCCTCCTCAGAGTCCATCATTTCCTAGAATGGCTCACAGAACTCGGGAAAAACTTCAGCTGCCATCACCGGTTTAGTATAAAGAATGTAACTTAGGAATACCAAGTGGAAGAGAGGCATAGGGTGAGGCATGGGGGTGAGTGCTGGAAACTTCCATGTCCTTTGCAGGTGTGCTGCCCACCTAGCACCTTGGTGTGCTCACCAACACGGCAGTTTTCCAAACTCTCATTTGTATGGAAGTTTCATTACACAGGCATGATTGGTCAAATTATCGACCTCCGTTGATTCACACAATCACCAGCCCCTCTCCCTTCCCCAGAGACTGGGGTGGGACTGAAAGTTCTAACCCTCCAATCACATGGCTGTTTCCTCTGACATCCAGAGGGCACCCTGAAGCTATCTAGGGGCCCCACCAAGAGTCTCCCCATTAGCATCAACTCAGGTATGGTCAAAAGGGGTTGATTTTGAATAACAAAGATGCTCCTTTTCACCCCTGTCACTCAGAAAACTCAGAGAACTTTAGAAGTCCCTGTGTAAAGAAACTGCTAACAAAGACCAAACATTTTAACAAAAGATGGTCCTCCGGATAGTACAAGAGTGTGAGGGGCTGTGCGCCAGGAACCAGAAACAAAAACCAAATACACATTTCATAGTATCTCACAACATCACACAAATTCACAGATCTGATTTCCAGTGAATTCTACTGAAATCACTAGAAAGAAAACTGACCTCCTCAAATATCCTGGTACAGCGCTCTGTACATATATTCCGCTTGGCTGTTCCTCAGCTCTGTCCTTACAATAAAGCTGTGATTATAAGTAGAGCTTTTCCTGAGCGCTTTGAGTCTCTGATGAATCAGCCCCTGAAGAGGGGGTTTGGGAACCCCCAAATCTATTGTCAGCTGGGCAGAAGTGTGGCCACCTGGGGACCTCTCTGGAGTGTGTGTGTATGTGTGTGTGTGTGTGTGTGTGTGTGTGTGTAACATTGCAGCAACAGGGCTAAAACTGCCATGCTATTAACACACATACTTTAGCAATGTAGAGATTTTTACATCAACTGTCTCCAATAATTTCTGGTTTTCCTTTTGAAAAATGCATCACTAATTATAGGATAGTTATCCCAGCTGGAAGCCTTTTATCCTTGCTGGATACAGCCATTTCCCAGCAAAGTTAAAAACCAGATAAGTGCTATGTGTGGCATTTAAAAAGTCAAATATTACACAAGGTCACATATGAATCACTTTTTTCCTAAATTAATGCATTATTTTGATGTTCCGGGAAGAATTTTCTAATACATATTTTCTTTCGCTTCAACTATTAAGCAATTTAAAACAGAGTCCTCCATCAGGTCCCACTGGACTGTCAATCTCCAAGATAGATAGATTCACACAAGCATATCTAAGTGGCTCTCTGTAAGTTTGAGATAGAGGAGAAAAGAAAACACAAATATTTTCTTTAGCATTTTTCATGATGATCATAATGTGCGGTGGGAGGAAGAATGGCCATAATTGTTTTGTGGGCAAGTTTTCTTTTATCTTACTATTTTTTATCATGGTAACATTATATAACATGAAATTTACCATTAATAACATCTGCTCCTCTTCACAGAACAGTGGTCTCAGCATCATCTTGCATATTCACATTCTGTCCCCTAACACACACAAACACACACACACAGTCACAAACACATGCACATCGTTTACCCTCACTTTGGGGATCCTGACACCTCATTAAAACATGACGATCTTCGGAAGGTCAATGGAAATGAGCCAACAAGATGACAAGTCTGTAGGAGCAGAGGACATGGGACATGGTCCTGTTGGGTAGCAAAGGGACATCAAAAAATCTAAAATAATGAAAGGGGTTCATTTGCTTAAAAGGAGAGTACAATTTTGTTTTTTTAGCTGTTCACAGTCCCCTAACAGCCAAATAGGAATTAATGTGGAGTTTCAGAAACAAAGACAGAAAATAACTGTGTCTCACATTTGCCTCCCACTCAAACTACCTCCACATCTCCCCCGTGCGTCCCTGAAGCAAGTGTCTTAAAGCCATAGTCTATCCTCATTTCTCTTAACTACCAGGTACATCTCAACGCATCACAACCTGGCTTCATTCCATAACACTGCCCTGACATGGCTCCTAATAATTATCTCCTAATTACCAGCCCA